TTCTAGAGGCTCCTGAAATAGCTTTATGCAGTCTCAGCCAGTTCTAAAACTTATTCATACTTAAAAGACTGTTCTCAGATTATTATGAAGAAGGAATAGATATATAAGGAAATGACAGCCAAATAGCACTACAGCATTAATGGAAGAAGCAAAATGAAACTTAAATTTTCCAGTATGGCACATTCATTCAATGTGTGCCAGAACTCCTTTAGGTGGAGCCAAAGAGGATGGGGTTAGATGATTACTGAGGTCTCCAGGGTTCTCCCAGCTCAGGCTGGACAGAATCCACAGTTGGATCAATTAATCTTTTAGACCTAAGTGCTCAGCTTAGAAGAAGACAGAAAAGTAATATTTGAAAATACACCTTGAAACTTTATCAACTTTTTCCAATTAAACCAAAGGCACCTTTTCTCATTAGGACTCCAACTCCTCTGTTTAGGATAGAGCTATCAGGACCTTGACTGCCTACTACCTGCAAGGACCCTTGCTAACTCACTGAATTTCTATATAACATAAGCTTTTATATAAAAGATATAAAACAATAAATTTCTCACTCCACCCTTTCAACACATGGTACACCATCCATAAAAAAGCAGCTCCACTAACTCCAGAAATCATTCTGCTCTAAATTCCCCACTTTCCAATTTTACTATCCTCTCAGGGATTTTCCATTTCTACTCCTACTTTTACCTCCCTACAAATAACCATGCAAAGAAGACTTAGTGTAAAATACAATGATTTTCCAGCCTTTTTTCCCTTTTGACAGGAAGAAGCACCATCAAGGTGCACAAACAGCAGACCCAAATTATGGCCCAAAAAGCCCTGCAACTAGACAGTAATATTGCCCCTGTCCAGACATTCACCTGATAGTTGCTGAAAACAATATGCATGTTTCACCAAGATAATAGCTACTCTGCAACTTCCTATTCTCTTAACTTGATAAACATTTTCTATTTTCTCTATAATAACAGAATCTGATTTTGACAGTTACTTTAGTGATTTTTGCTAAGCAATTAGTATTTCTGATCACTAGCCATCAATGAACTGAGTAGTTATGAGGAAATTTTTATTTTCTTTTTTCTTATACTTTATCTGATTATAAAACAAAATATTTCGTTTTCATATAGGAAGAAAACAAAACAACCCTCTGGTTTGAACATCTGGGTGCATGGAGGTATGGTTTCCTACAATGGAGAATTCAGTAGGAACTGTAGGTGAGGTAATAAGTTTAACTCTGAGAATACTGAGGCCAGTGGAGTGTTCAATAGACAGCCAAGAATATCAGTCTGAAATTCAGGGGAGAAACTTGGCCTGGACCTACGGGGTGGGCAAAAGTAAGCTTACCGTTATAAGTGAAACAGAGTTTATTCTTATACTAGAGGCCCAATGCATGAAATTCGTGCACGGGTAGGGTCCCTAGGCCTGGCCGGCAATCAGGGCCAATCTGTGGGGCAACCTACGGGGCAATTGGGGCCCCCGCTGGCACCCGCCTTGGCTGGCCTAGCGCTGCCTGCTCACCAGCCCCTCCCAGCTGCCGCTGCTGCCACTGGTCAGGGCCTGTGGGCTGAGGGCAGCTCCTGCGTTGAGTGTCTGCCCCCTGGTGGTCAGTGCGCGCCATAGCAACTGGTCATTCAGCTGGTTGTTCTGCCGTTCGGTCAATTTGCATACTAGGGTTTTATTATACAGGAATTATTTATTGTATTGATTATTATTATTAACCTACTATGCCCACCTCAGTATAAGATGGGAATCAACAGCATATGATGATGGTTAAAGCCAAAGTTCTGGGGGAAATCATTCAAGGTAAAGATATAGAATAAGAAGTAAAGAAGCCCTAGAAGTAACAAAATTTAAGGAGATGGGTAGAGAAAGATAGCAAAAGATCTGAGCAGAAAAGAGAGTGGCTGGAAAGGCAGAGCTTAAAAACTGCTTAAAAAGCCAGGAAAGAGTAATGTCACAGAAGCCAGTGGAGGAAAAGTTTCAGGTCAGAGGGAGTGGCCACCATATCAAAAGCTGCAGAGAGGTCAATAGAATAAAGAGAGCCTATCTGATCTACAATGGAAAGAACACTAATGGCTTTGGCAATGGTAGTTTCTGAAGAGAGGTAGGGACAGAAGCCAGAATGCAGTGAAGTCTCTAGAATGTGGGAAAGTAAACTACTTTCAGGAGCTTGACTCCAAGGGTGGTTAGAGAGTTATTTTTCAAAATAGGGAAAAATTCAGATTTATATACCAAAGAGTTGAGAAAGAAAGGCTGAAGATACACCAACACCTCTGCCCCAACAGCAACAGCTGCCTTCTACTCCACTGAGACCAACACATCTGTCGGCACCAATTTTCTCCACTCCATGCCCAAAACATAAGGAGTTTGTTGTTTGTTGTCTGTCATCACCTTCACTGCCATTCTCCTATCCCTAAAGAATGCTGGTCTTCACTCTTGCTCAAGACAAAGCCAATACCTTTGGATCCCATTCTCTCCTATCTCCACAAGAACCTTGCTCTATCAGTTATCCTTTCCCTTTTTCCGTGTTCAGCTTTTCCCTCTGGACTAACTCTTTCCCCTTAACATATATAAATAAGTTAAAGTCTATGCAATATGGGGGTAAAAAAGTAGAAATTAGGAATGGGAAAAGAACACACAAAAACTGCTTGAGTATCCACTATTTCCCAAAATAAAAACTGCTTGAGTTTTCATTACTTGTCCCACTATGGATGTAAAAATACAAGTAAAGCATTCATTTATTCATTCAACTAATATTTATTTGGTGGCCACTATGAGCTAGGAGTTGAATATACACCTGTGAGCAAAATAAAGTTTCCGGTCTTATGAAATTTATCAAAGTGGGGGTGGTATAGATAATAAACACACAAATACACACATCATAGTAAGTGCTTGGAAGACAAAGCAGGACAGAGAGTAATGGGAGGCACTGTTTTATAAAATAGGCAGGGAAAGCCTCCCTGAGGAAATGACATTTGTGCAGGAACTTCAGTATAGGCACAGCAAGTACCAAGACCCTGCGACAGGAGCACACTTGATATGTTCAAGAAACAGAAAGTGTGCCCTGACCAGTTTGGCTCAGTGGATAGAGCGTCGGCCTGCGGACTCAAGGGTCCCAGGTTCGATTCCAGTCAAGGGCATGTACCTTGGTTGAGGGCACATCCCCAGTGGGGGGTATGCAGGAGGCAGCTGATCGATGTTTCTAACTCTCTATCCCTCTCCCTTCCTCTCTGTAAAAAAATCAATAAAATATATATTTTTTAAAATACTACAGTTAAAAAAAAAAAAAAGAACGAAACAAAAAGTGTGGCTGGAACAGAGTAGAGTGAGTTAGAGAACAAAGGTAAGAGCCGAAACCGGTTTGGCTCAGGTCAGAGAGGATACCTGTGCCTCATCATAAGAACTATAATTTCATCAAAAGTCTTTAGGAAGATACTAACGGTTTTGAGAGGAGTGTAACAATGTCTGATTTCAGTTTTCAAAGGGTCACTCATGTTGCTGAGTGGATAATTACCATTATAACATAGGGTGATAAAGAAAGATGATAAAGGCAACTGGACAAACCAAAAGAGAAACACTTAACAATGAATGTAAGTTAGGACAGGCTTTGCAAAGGAGTGATGTATGAACAAGGAAGAGTTAGTAAGAAAGGAGGTGGGGGTGAGGGTGGGGGGGTGGTCTATGTCAAGTAGCTGGCATAGGTGTAGAAAAGCCACAAGAGTTTTGAAAAGATTTGGTATTTCAATTCCCCAGCACCAAACAGTCCAAAATATTTTATAAAAACATATCTTTTATAATGTCTACCAAAAAAAAGACCTATTAAGATATTTGCATGACCTTTATGTAGAAAATTATAAAACTATGGAAAGACATTAAAGGAGCCCTAGCTGGTTTTACTCAGTGGATGGTTTTACTCAGGTCCAAGGACTGAAGGGTCCCGGTTTCGGTTCTGGTCTAGGGCACGTACCCTAGCGCAGGCTTGATCCCTAGCCC